ATTGGCTGTAGCCCATTTATACAAGAGTACTGGAGAGCGATCTACTGCAAGTTACTCATGTTAACAAAACTGACCTTGCTCATTCATCGTCAACATCGTAGCTTCAACTTTACGGCCCTAGGAATTTCTCCTGACATCAATTATACTAGTCTTATCACTGTGCTAACTGTGTATGCTTATCCTGCTTCAAGTGGACACAATTGAGCAACAAATGTCTTTATTTTATTCCATATATACCACTGGCGTACCCAGGATTTCGGCTCGGGGGGGGGGGGGGTCGGCAAAAAAATTTTTCAAATGAAGGTGCGTGGCGTTAGCCACGCACTCCGAAAAATTTTTAAGGGGCTTCCCAAAATTTTTGCGGGCCCCTAACCCCTAACACGCCCCGAAAAAATTTTTTGATAAGGCTAATTTGAATTTTTAAAAAATTTTGAAAATTATTTTAATTGTTTACATAGATAAACAAGTCACTTGCACATTTTTATAACTCATGTAAGTAACTTTCAAAAATTTTGCGACCCGTTCTCGGGGGGGGGGGGCGCACGCCCCCCCCCCCCGCCCCACCCCCTCGGTATGCCACTGATATTTACCGACTTACGGATTTATTAGCAACAATAATTCCTAAACATCGAGGTCTCTTATTAACATTATCCACATTTGTAAGTTCCAAGTAAAACTTCATTAAGCACCTTCCAAGCCTCGAGCATCTGCCATTGTCCATCGCAATTGGTCGAAATCACATTTACAACATTACACGTTCCACCCACCTAAACATGCATTTTCTCACCGAAAAATGGGTATGAAAATAAAATAGTAATTATATAAATTGAGAACAAAGTACTTACAAACATTTCACTAATTATATTTCATACAAATCCAGTTTAGAAATTTTGACCTTTATACTGGATAATTTTATAATTTTCACCATTTTTTACCATTTTTCAATCCCCCCCCCCGGTCGACGCTTGAAATTTTTTCAGCTCCCCCCCCCCCCCCGGTCGACGCCGGCACTTTTCAGACACCCTTCACTTTTAAGGGTCAAAATCAGCTGAGACACGCTTCACCTTGGAGGGACCCCGCTCACGCCATCGCACCTATGGCCGTGAGCTAATTATTTGCGTTGCGGTTAGGCAGTGCCTTAGCTAGAACCTCTCAACAGTTTCGAGGCGAAAAACCCATATGCTCAAATTTGCCTGGACACTGCCTTTAAAGCAACGAAGGGGCGTGGCTTAGTGTATACCACCAATGGCCGGGTGCCTAACGCCCGCCCCCCATTTTCGGCAAGTCGTTTTGGAAAGTTATCACAAGAATCTAAAGGCCACCAATTTGCTCATGTGTGTGTTGTGTGTATGTGTATGTGTGTGTATGTGTGTATGTGTGTATGTGTGTGTATGTGTGTATGTGTGTATGTGTGTGTATGTGTGTATGTGTGTATGTGTGTGCTTGTGTATGTGTGTATGTGTGTGTGTGTGCGTGTGTATGTGTGTATGTGTGTGTATGTGTGTATTTGTGTATGTGTTGTGTGTGTGTGCCGTGTGTTGTGTGTGTTGTGTGTATGTGTGTGTATGTGTGTATGTGTGTGTATGTGTGTATGTGAGTGTATGTGTGTATGTGTGTGTTTGTGTATGTGTGTGAGTTGTGTGTGTATGTGAGTGTGTGTGTGTTTTGTGAATAGACAGGGTGCCGGCGGTCCGTATGCGACGAAAGAGTCACCAGCAAAGGGAACTAATTGCAACGGAAAACGCGATGAGGTTTTGGTGAAGAAAGGGGCAAATTGTGATGGGCTTAAAATACATGTTTTGCTCACATGATATAGTTTTGGAGAAGGTTGATTTGAAGTGTTTATCGAAGCTCTCCCATTAGCAATCAATCTCTGAAACATTATTTATGAATTGTTTTCTGGAAAAAATTTACTACTGAAGAGCTTCTGTTTAGATGTGCTCGCATAAGGACGAATTCTGTTACCCTTCATGCTCGACAGTGCGCAATTTTTTTTGAAAGACTCCTGTAAAAGAAGCAAAGAAATTTCAAAGACTTTTTCACTGACAATTCGTAATGCGATGTAGTATGCTGTATTTGTCATTGCTTTGTGTAAGAGAGGATGATTAATATCCCAAAAAAATGCATTTACTGTTTAATCGTTAATAAAAGCATTGACACTTGAGCCACGCACACTTGAGCCATTGAAGGCCATATTTTGCCTTAGAAAGGAAACAAACAGCTTGAAAGCTTCTGCACTAGGTTAACTAGAGTTGTTGATTCTAACTGTAAAGTTCCCCACTTAATATGATGCTTCACTGAAGAGTTATGCCAGGTAAGAGGTAGTGGCCATTTTTCAATGTTCCTAAAAAGTGCGGTTACACCGTTTAAAAAGCTTCGCAATCTTGAGAATAGTTGAGTATTGAACTCAGCGTCCCTAAAAACCCTATTACACAAGTTTTCACATCTTTTTGAAAATTTTTGAAACGGCAACTTTTTCCACATTGACACCATTTGTTTCAAGTTTCTACCGTAATCCTACAGTAATGAGGAGAGATGGTGATTTGTTCTATACTGCAAATCTAAGTTGAACCTCGCTCTACAACATGGTACCTAAAGCTTTCCGAAACACTTCATCACAAGAGGGTTATTTACAATCAAACAGTGGATACATTTTTTGGGACACTCTGTATAACTCTTACCCAGCTTACTTTGGCTCATGCACATTTTATCAGTGAGCAGGCACTAAAGTCGCTCCCGTGTATAGATAGTAGGCGCAATGATTGAGTAACAAACTACGCGTACGAGTATATCGGCGAATTTCTACAGATACGTTCTGCAGTAAAGGATTGATAGGACCTTCCCAACATGGTCTGTTGCGCTTATCAGCTCATGGTTTTCAGATAAGGTTTGTTCATAAAAGCATCGCTTGAGATTCTAACGCTGCATCAAGAACTATGCTATTGCAACTCATTGTCGTTATTTGCTATCTTTTCTGTGGAGCGATAGCTGGCAATTGCTCATACGGAACTGCTACTGATTCAAATGAACACTGCATTCATATTGAAAAAACGACCAAGTAAGTTGCCAGAAACTAAGCTAATTTTCATAATGCGATTGAAGCACTTATTCTAGCATGATGTTTGAGTGCTCAATTTTCTGCATCGAAAGAGAAGTCGTTGCTCTTACTTCAAGGAACATTTATTTATTATATATCATAACATTTGTCCGTAAAAACCTAAGCATCTCTTTCTAAAGTTATCTTTTCTACGCCATACAGGGTCAATTGACCAACAGTTTAATTGGCCTCACAGTTTGGCAAAAATGCCTTTTTTGAAGGCTTGAAAAAAGGACTGTCACCGAAATAGTTTACAGGTTACTTCTTCTTTAAACATGGCTGTTCGATATATCTAGAGCTAGCTAGTTGGGATACTTGGCTCCGCTCGGTCCCTCGCACTACGGCATGATAACAATTGCCATTCAATAACATTTCTTTTAATCACTTTCCTGTCCCCGCCTCATTACATGTCTATTCCCGGCCTCTCGCATTTTCGTACTCAGCACGCACTTACCACTATGTGCTAGCTCCCAGCCCACAGCTCAAAATCTGTAGGATCGAGAGATTGTTTTTAGAGCTTATTGTGTTCGTAATCAGCATTACCCCCCTCTCCCCTCTCCTCCGCCTGCCCCCCTTTCCCCTCCCCCCCCCCCCCGTGCCAACTCCTAGCTTCGTAGCTCAAAGTTCACAAGAACTGACAAAATCGATGTCGATCACTAACGAATGTAGCTCGCGATATTTGCCCCTCCACGGAGTTTATGTGTGCAAATTTTGGTCCAGATTAACGGGATTTTCGATTTGAAACATATGTGCACCCATACATACATACAGACAGAAAACGGACATTCAGCTTCATATATGTAAGACGAACACGGTCGATTTTTTGGGTCAGTGAGTAAGCAAAACCAAACCGACTCCAGGTGATCCTACAGTGCTTTCCTCCACTGAAGACAGATTATGGGACAGTCTTAGCACAACCCATGATGCGCGAGTAAGAGGGCTGGCAGTAAATCAAGGGCAACCACCCATGCTCGCTGTTTGCTATATGAGCAGAATTGTAAAGCTCTTGCTATCAGAGGTCCATCTATGTACTGCAGGTGAATCAATTATCGTATCACAATAGTATTATTAGGTTGTTGCAAAAAAATGTCCGTCTCGCCAACTTTCACTTTGAGAAGCTATAACTTTGTCCATTCTCCATATTTTTTGATGCAGCGAAGGTCATTAGAAGCAGCAAACTTTTGGTAACTTAGCGCGCACTTGCAAGCACTGATATTGCAAGAAGAATACTGTGCGTCATAAACCGAAGGCTTTTCTTTTGAGAACCTCGTCTTTTGAGAGATTACAGGTGTTGGCAACCAGCTTATTTTGTGGCCGAGAGCCAGTAGTTACGACGGTATAGAATAAACGTTAACGAATGAGTGCTGCTGAAAGAAAAGATAAAAATCCACAATTGGCCGCTTTTTGACCCTATTTCTGGTAGGCTTGAAAGTGTCAAGTCACAAGAATTTGGAATTTCTCGTGCAAGAATGGCTAAATTTTTGTGCAAAAATTGTAAACAAGGTGTCCCAATTTTAAGCTCACAGGAATGAGCGAAGCTTTGTTACCTTAATCATGAAAAATTTTTGACCCATAGAATGTCACCGGCGAGATATTTTGAGGCGTCGATTTGTCATCCCAGAAATCTGCGAAAACCCCAGTTATGTATGCAGCAGGTAAACAATAGCCATTTTATACAGTAGCCATGTTTTTGAGAGAATTCGTTTGTCTGCGTCCAAATTGTGGCCAAGAAAGTGAAAGCAATGAAATTTCGATATTGAGTGCTGCTGTGCAAAATGCTGGTAAAAATCTCACAAATAAGGATGTAAACCTAATTTTTCTCTATCAATGATGGCAGAAACTGTATCGAAAAAAAAGTTTAATGGAAAAAAGTCGTTTAAAAAATAAGCTTGAAAAAACAGACGTTATTTTTGCATTGACCATAGTTCACTCCAATTTGGACGAGTTCTAGAATAATGATCAAGCAATCTCAGCACATAAGTTTAACTGGGGATTGGTGATGGAAATTGTCTAACGTACCTCAATGCCGAGCTGATGTTGACGGGCGGCGTACGGGAGACGGCCCTTTAGAACCGCTAGCTCGGGCAGCGTAATTAGCGCGCGCCTGTGATTGGTCGAGGCCGCGGCAGCGACTGGCTAGGCGAAAGAGCAGCCTAGCCGTGAGAGACGCCAGACCTGCAGAATTGGACGAGTTGTTTGCCGCACATCTTCGTACACTTTTGGACGCATTACGCCGTAGAGTCTTGGCATTTTGCCAAAATCAGAGATTTGGCGGAAACCTGATAAGAAATTACTATTTTAGCTCAGAATATCCTTTGTCTTGGTTCTTTTTTCGTTTGCTCTGCTGTTAAGCTCCGGTGTTGTCATTCAATTATTTTTTCACTGTTTTTATCATTTGTAATCACCTTCGATGATCCGATGATGGCTGATCCCTTCTAAGCAAAGGTGGACGAAAAAGAGCTGGGATTTTTTTGGGGGTGGGAGAAAAATCAGTCCCTTTATCGCCATCCACCAATCCTGGATTCGTGGCTTTTTCAGAGGGCTTCAGGCCTGGAGATAGCGCTTTCCGGTTCCACGCTTGAGCGAGGTGAAAACCGCAACCCTCAACACATTGAGGGGGGAAAAGCTTCTGTAATGCTTTGTGTGCTTATGCATTGTTGTAGAGTACTGTCACTCACTCTAATAGAGGCCAATACTGCACGCTCAAAGTCGATGACGATTCGCAGATGTTCAAGATTCACATCGTAGTTTACTAACTCCTCTTTGACCATTCTGAACACTTTGTCGTATACGGACTGATTTTTTCTTTTCATAAGTACGTGTACCAGTGGGACGTCTAGAACGAAGTAGTTTTCTTCGTCGAAGTACTCTATGGTGACTTACCAATACCACCATTACAAACTCCATGGATGGTATACAGTTGGCCGTCCTTGCCAAGCTCTTCTGGAGGGAGTTTGTGTATCCCATCCGCGACTAGGGCAACAAGTTCATTCTCTACGGCTTTCTGTATGGTTTTCCTCGAATAATATACGTATAAGCTCGGTAGCTTCAACTGCAGAAACTGTGTTCCATCATCCAACTTCGTCAGATCGTCGGGCTGGTTTTCAAGAGTAGTCCTCGGTAAATCATGACTTTGCACAGCCCTAAGGTACAGTGTGAATCCGACTGTTTTCGAATTTTACTGGCTTGGCTATCGTTCTTCTTCTCTTGCTGTAGCCAATATCATAAAATTCGTCCATAATTTCTTCGACTTCTTCTCTAGTGTAGTACCGCAGGAGGGGGAGAGCGTCAAGCATATCCTGCCAAATTTTTCTGACCACTGCATCTTCGAAATTAGGATCGCTTCGGATCTTCTGGAGGTTTTCGTACATAAAGCGTTGCACATAGTTCGCTTTATACTTCTTAGGAATGCAGTGGTGCGGCAACATACAAGGGTCTACTGCGAATTCGTCATCGACTACCTAGAGCACAAGATCGACATTACATCTACGCTGTAGACAACTTACATCTACTTGAGTGTGATATCCTACTTTAGCACAATACATGCACTTGAAGGCCTTACAGAACTTCTTCCTCTTGTGTAGAGCGAATGCGTAACACCTAGACCCCCCTTGAATTCGGTATATTAGCACATAGTGCCTCCCAAATTTACTTACCTGTCGTTCTCCTTGATATATGGTTATATCTGAAAGATTAGATGAAGGAGCAGATGAAGAAGCTGCGGGCTGGGAGGATATGCTACTAGAAGGCTGCGCTGGTACTGGGCTGAAAAGGTGTAGCTAAATGGAGGTGATTGTGGGGGCTGCGCTGGTACTGGGCTTGAGAAGCTGAAGCTCGATTGTGCTGTCAAAGTTGTGGAAGCCTCTGAAGTTTGTACGAGAAGGCTATCCGGCTGCGGCGTTTGCAAAAGAAGCCTATCTGACGCTTGTGTTTCCATCAGAAGCCTTTGAGGAGCTGGAGATTGCATCAAAAGAGGACTTGTTGGCATTATTTTTTGCACATAAAGAGGTGCGCAGGCTTGAACCACAAGCTGGGTAGAAGCTGGACGTGGAAGGAGAGGGCGCAAGGTAGCTTGCGGGGTAGAAGCATTTTGAACATGACTTTCATTGCGTGAGTTGTCAGGAACAATGTAAAACTTGTGAAATAGCATGATGACTCGAAAGCAAACAAAGATTATGTTGATCATACTGTTTAAGTACCCTTTTTATATGCTTCTGCTTGGCACGGTGAGACTTTCGCACGTCATAAACCTCCCAAAGGCATTGAGAGATGTACACCTCTGACCCAGATGCAGATTACAGTAGAAGTGCGAAATGAATAGTGCCAAATCATGGTAGGAAAAGATAATTCATGCATAGCTTGATTGTTCTAGCTCTTCACGCAAGGTTCATGAATAAAACAACAATGAAGAAACAAACCGAACTTAACATATGACACAAAACCTTTTAAGTACTTACCGACGCATTCCAATCGAATTAAAGTCTAGCGGTAGCATAGAATGGTGAATAGGAATACAGCAGAATAGTAATAGAATAGTTTTTGGAAGTTCTAGATCTCTAAGCAAGGCTCATGTCACATAAACCATGAGAACAAGCTTAAGGAAAAGGAACTTTCCAAGTAGTATACAATAGAATTGATTAGCAGAATATCAGCAGTCAGAATATGTTAACATCAGATCAATCAAACGTAAATTGGACGAATAAGAGCCAAAATAACTTTCGAAAAGATAGTGGAAAATGTTGGGCAGACAGCTCGTCCATTCTGAGCGGTGCCAAGCACGCACCGCATGCGCGCGCCTCAGTGGCCGTGGAGCAGGCCTATTGTCGCTGGGTCAGAGCGGTTCTAAAGGGCACACACCCGCGGCGTACACTTTGAGTGACGGTATCGCGAAGAACGCTGCAAATAATCTTTTACACGCACATTCAACTTTAGTCAGACGCGTTTTTACTTAACTATAATCAAAACAACAAGCAGCAGCGGCGAGAGTGATTGACAGAAATTCTGAAAACTGGCAAAAATACGGCTACTTTTCGAAAAAATCAAAAATTCAAGAAAGACGCCTGTAAATGACGCATCTGGGGTCATGATCCTAACCAAGTCACCACTCATATTTGATAGGGTAACACATGCTTTATAAAAGGGTCCAGGTACAACCACGGTTGGGATCAGATGTTGCATTCGTAAATGTACCTCAAAGAACATCGACGACATTTTGTACGCAAAAGATTACGTGACACATTTTGTACCCCTCGAGTCTCATCGTTTGCCCCTACGGGTGACAAGGATAAACTTGCTGAACGTTCACGTCACAGCATTAGTTTTCGTATTCTCTCGTAAGAGAATACGAAATCAAAAACAGCTATGTTTTGCATTACCTCGACTCCACTTCCATACGAATCTAGAAGCCGAAGATGCTTCCAACCACTAGTGATCTAATGCCATTCCTATCCTTCTGCCAAAATGAGTATCTCACCACTAATTCACCAAATCTAGTGCGACTACATCCACTCTTTCGTCACTAGTGAATGAGCAAGGCATTGTCGGACCGCATGGTGATTCTGATAAGTCATTGACCTAAAATGGCTATGTTTGTCTCGGACGAATACCTTGTGAAATGTGCAATGTAAATTCATGTGACTGACTTGATTTTAGGTCTTTGAAGGCACCTGTTGCCGAAACGTGAGGCGAAATAAACTGTTCATAAAGTAAACCTTGTGAGATACAGATAACGTCAAGATAACGAGCCTTGATGTTTCTTTCAAACTTTTGTGTTTTATGAAAAAAAAAACAAGTTTTTGCATATTTCACAATAGGAATTGGGATGATGCCGAAGCGTTTTGCGTTGCTCGTGGAGGACATCTCGCCTCTATACATAGCCAATTCGACAATCGCAATCTACAAGGTAAGTTTGCACCTTGTTTAACAAAATGAATGACCATGTGTCATTCACAATTCTTTAAATATATAAAGCGAAGAATTCGACGTGTGTGCGAAGTATATATGACTAGAGGCGTTATGCTTGAATTTTTTGAGCTTATACTTTGCATACGTATGTTTTTAACCCCGATGGAAAACATTGGCTATTTCGCCTCTCATTAATCCCTTCTATGAATTTACTGAATAGTTTATGTACTTCTAAGGAACTGAAATTTTGCCATCCACGACCGGATCATTTTCCCATTTTCCCATAATCTCTATATATATAAAGCAGAAAATTTGTATGTTTGTGCACATTCCACATAGTCATGAAGAATATGCGGTAAAGCTCATTTTTATCTGGTCATCAAGACATGGTAAGGACGGTAGGAATGAACCCAAGACGAATCTGAATTGAAAGAAGAATAAGTTTCGCTACGTGAGAGGGTCAAGCACACAATGAACTGGCTCAAAACCGGAGGGGAACCCGGGTCGCAAGCTCGTATACTATACAGCAAGCCGGCTTAATGTTATAATATTTGTATTCATGCTCCATTTTGATTTCAATTTGCGGATATAGTAGCAACGGACTTCCTTCACCTCTAGACCGGCACTTCCACGCTAAAAACATTGTTGGTTCAAATTTGCTCTTTCAACTTTTCGCAGCCTTCTCGCCATGCTGGACCTATCAAAAAGGACCGTTTTCAAAGCTCTCAATGGCTGCATGCGCTGGAAAATACATGTAAGTAGGCGGAGTCCGGACTGTGGAGGTGGAGTTAGGAAGACATCCGGAGTAATCTTATGTTTTCCAAATGCTCATTAGTTGAGAGGCTGTCGTTGCAACGTTGTAAAACCCCAGTATCCATCACTTTGTCGAAACACTGCCTTCAATAAAAATAGCGGTGTAAGTACACAGAGATGTAGGCGTGTAATATTGGTGCATCTGCTCTTTGACATATGCAGTTTTACATAATCCATGCGATTAATCGGTCAAAGGAATGCAGTGTCAAAAGCCATCTTTGAGCCTGCATGCATAAGATCTGGTCGCTCTCACAACGCTGCAGAAAATTCAATGCACTGCAAATAGCGTTTTGGCCAGCTGGAAGATCTAAAGATTCTGCGGTGAATGAAGGCATTTTTGTGAACCTCGCTTAAGCGCGAAACCGAAGATAAATTCTAAAGCTAAAGAATGCGGCGGAAAACACGAACAACGTGCTATCCTGACCTAGCTGGCCAGCGCATTTCCTCACTACTGCTAATGCGCAATGTTGAAATTTGTTATCACAAAAGACAAGATCTTCGAATTAGTACGGCGAGACGCCCTGCATTGCGCATCACCCTTTCTCACTCACACACCCTCCTTGAAATGTTGAAAAAGATACCTCAAAAAGCGTGCTGCACCATGTGCAGCACCCGTTCGAGACGTGTTAGAAACAAGACCGCTGTGGCTTACTGCGGTAGAACTTCAAGATATTATATAACAAGACTTATATGACAACGTAAAGTTTCATATGAATTAAGAGGGAAGAATAATTGGTAACCGTGGCCATTCAAGATTAAATGTACACCGCAAGACTCAACTCGTAACGCAGATTCCAAACCGGCCTCGCTTTGCGAAACGGTCTTTTGATGAATATGAACTTGTTTTTGATAAAAACTTGTGCATTTTTGGACAATCGAAATTATCAGTAATCAAACCAATTTGGTGCTTGTTGCTATAAAATGAAATCTTAGGAAGAGAACTATGGTACTTAAACCAACTGATCCAAAGCTACCAGTCGAAAAAAGCAAGAAAATTTTGCATTGATTTATTTGAGCGTTCGTTAGTGCATTTTAATTGAAAAAAATCATAATTCCAGCTCCGGGTAATCCTTTCGCAGAATGGAAGGCACTTTTCGAACCAGCATCCAAATGCGCTTCTATAAATATTCACCTCATTGTGAATGAGCGCGGTTACCAGTTTTTTTTTTGCTAGAAAATTTATGAAGATAATGAAGTTGGCTTGCTCAATTCTGGCCATACACTCTTTATCTCTGTTATCGTAATAATAATTTTGAAGTTTCAAAAGCTTGCTTGACTCGGTCGCAATACAGGCAGAAAGGCGCGTATTGATTTGATGGTCATTATACAAGAGAATTAGGAAAGAAGCATAAATTTGTTTTGTAAGTATAATCCACTGCACTTTCGTATCCATTGACAAAACCAAAACCAATCTGAGATTATTGTTTCTGTGGAGTAGGAATCCAGTATGGTAATGACGACTGCACAAACGCGCGCCTTTTAACTTACATCCCTTAAGAGAAGCAGCTAATGACAAAAGGAAAAAATTTCACCGTTTCACTTGCTTCTTACAAAGGCTTGACACCTTGGTTTGAAAAGGAATGCTTTTGTTGATAGTTAGCTAGACGTAATGCGCTTTTACTTTCTCCTCACAGATTCTAGGTCCTAAGCCCGATCGCATTAACATCCCGCTAGGGAGGGGACGCAGCTTAGGGCGCATGCAGACCATTCTAGCTGGGAAGAGGATAGCATCAAGAGAAAGCTTCATATGCTGAAGTTCCAGATATCTGGACTCGGGCTGTCTACCTATCCGTGAGTGTTCCTACCATCCCGAACATATTGAACAGGG